CGGCGGCAGTCTGGGTGGCGTTTTGGCTGGCTTATTCGCAGGTCGCAGCGGCGGCAGCCGCGCGGGCCGCGGCGGCGTGCTCTTGACGTCATCGGTGCGCGGGGGCACGCAGGACTTTTTGCCATCGGCATTCGCGCGATGATGGTGCAGTAGCCATATGAGAGTTTGGATCGCAGGAATGTCGGGTGGCCCGTGGCCCTTTGCAGTGGCGAGTCGGCCTGTAGTTTTGCGCGGCCTGGTCCCGCCTCCATTGACTCTTCTCCACTTCATCGCCCTGTCCCCTTGAGGGGAACGGGCCCTGGGGACGAGGCTCGTCCCCAGGGCCCGTTTTCAGCGGCCCCATCGAGGCTGTTCTAGCCGCCGCCCCCATTGAAGTCCTAGTCGCCCCCCTCTCCGCCCTGTGCGCCCCTTCTTTGCCCAGCCGCCGCCGGCCCCCTCTCTCGGAGAATGGGCCATGGACGAGCGAAGTCATGAGGCTTTGGCTTCGCCGCGAAAAAGTGTCGGGACCTGTCTGTTTTTCGACCCTGACCGTGCGGATTTTCGTGAGGGGTGCCGCCGGATTTCAGAAATTTAACACATCCTTTGCGTTTTTGCACCCTGGCCCTACGGATCTGCGTGAGGGGTGCCGCCGACTGTCAGAGATGTGGCAAATCCTTTTGTTTTGTGCCGTGGCCCTGCCGATTTGCGTGAGGGGTTGGCAAATTCCATGTGTTTTTGGATCCTGACCCTGCCGACGTGCGTGAGGGGTGCCACCGGTTTGTAGATTTGTGGGGAGCCCTTTTGCGTTTTTCCACTCCGCCGATCTGTGCGGGGGGTGCCGCCGAATTTCCGACATGTAGCAAATCCTTTTTGCGTTTTTTGCACCCTGACCCTACGGATCTGCATGGGGGGTGCCGCCGACTGTCAGAAATGCGGCGAATCCCATTAGTTTTTGGACCTACCGAACCCAGCCGATCTGCGTGAGGGGTGCCGCCGAATTTCTGAAATGTGGCAAATCCCCGTGTGTTTGTGGACCCTGACCATGCGGATCTGCTTGGAGGGGTGTCATGGAATTTCAAAAAATGCGGCGATTCCCATCTGTTTTTGCACCCTGCCCCCGCCGATCTGCGTGAGCGGTGCCGCTGGCTGTCAGAAATGTGGCAAATCCCTTTTGTTTTTGGGCTTTGGCCCTGCCGATGTGCGTGAGGGGTGTCAGCAAATTTCAGAAATGTGGGAAATCATTTGTGTTTTTGGACCCTGACCCCGCCGATCTGCGTGAGGGGTGTCGCCGGATTTTAGAAATGTGGCAAATTCGGTGCTTTCTTGGAGCCACTCAGCGTGAGGGGTGTGTCAATTTTTACCCGCCCCAACAATTCAGAACATGCGATTTTTTCGCGGTAATAGTGCCCGTTTTGGGCTTCCCCCCCTCGCGCTGTCCATCAACAAGGAACAGTAAGCAACGAGAAGTCAACAGGGAACAATAAGCAATAAGAAACATAATTGTAACAGTGGAAACTAGAAGCTGCAACTGGCACAGGAAACTGCGAATTCCCGGCCTACAGTTTGGTGGCCCCGCGAGGGGGCCGGCGCATTCTCCAGGCGATGTCGCGCGCCTGCCCCTTCTCCTTCTCCTCGCGCGCGGGTTTCGTCGGCTCCGTTGTCGTTTTCCTGGCGCCGTCGTTCCTGTCAGTGGCTGCGCTGCTGCTTCTGCCCCCTCGCCTGCCTTCCGCAGTGTCGCCGCCGCCGCTGCCGTCGCAGATGCGGCGTCGGAGATGTGCAGATTCGGCGGGGTTGCGTCGTCGACTCGCAAGCTGGGCGTTCGAGTTATCCGGCGCGGGTCGCCCCTGGGCGAGCGCGCGCAGTTGCGTTGCGCGCGTGCCGCGTGCCACTGCGCTAATCCAGCGAGTGGTTGCTGCGCAATTATGCAGCGGAGACATGTTTCACCTGTTTCGCAGCGCCGGTTCTTCTTACATTTCATGCCATTTAATGTGTTCCTGGGTCCCAGGCTGTCCACGAGTAGCTACCTTACAACAGTGGGATATTTTCCCTTAGCTGGGGCTGCGCTGGATTTATTTGTTTCTACACAGAATTGGTCTGATATTGTCTTACGTTACCAATCCGAGTTTCCTCGGTCTTTCCCGAAGTAGAGCCATTTTGCAGCGCTGGCCTCAATTTCAGGTTGGCTTTCTGCTCCCGTCTTTCGGCATTGCGGTCGCGCCCCGGCGCGGGCCACACTTCTGGATCCGAGCGTTTCGGCGTCGTCGTTGGTCCTTTTTCTTTTCATAGTTTGGCTGTTCAGATCGTTTGAATTGGGAAGATCCAGGAGGGATTTGCAGCGTTCTCTAAGGTGCTAGCCACCGCGCCCTTTCCGCCGGCATATTCTCAAAATGTTGAGCATGTTTGTTTCGCGAGCTGTTTTTTATATTTACAACTCGCGCGCGTACGCTCTTGGCGCACGGGGCCCTCAACGGTGCAGGAGTCGGCGGGTTGAGCAGGGATAGGGGGAAGGCGGATCAAGAACAGGAGAATTGACCAGGAGGAGGAAACAATATCGGGATGAGGACGAGGATCGGGTGCCAAAAATGAAGGATGTCTCCCCCCTCCCCTTGTATCATTCGTTTCTCTCAGCCTCACTCCACTTCGAAAGCGACCAATCGACATGTTTTGAATCGCGTCTTGAGCAGGATTCGGAGGCGGATGTAGCAGCCCGGGGCGATGACAACATCGTTGTTGTCGGCAGCGAGCACGCCTATCGCGCTGATGGTGCGCAGTCGGAGGCCTTGGTTTCGGACCAAGCAGGGGGACTCGCAAACTCGCGCATGGTATCGCAATCGCCGCTACACACAGAATATGTTATATTGTTTCCCTGGCTACTCAGTACAGAAGTATTGGGTAGGGAACGTGCAAGACAAACGAGCTTGCGCGAGATGGGGTTTCGGGGACTCCCGCATTTGCACACTAAGCCGCATGTGGGTTTGAATTTAGGTTTCCCCAGGAACTGCTGCATATCAGGGTGAGTTGCAGGGGCCGTGCCGCGAAGCACGCCGTTCGAGTTCATGCACACCTGGGGGACCTGGGGTGCGCGTGCCATTTGAGTTCATGCGAAACTGGGGATCGGTCCAGCCCCCCACGGGGCGCAGTTCCTTTCGAGGTTTACCTTCTCGCAGATCCAGACCTTGGCTTGGAATTGCGAGAGGAGTTTTCTGGAACACGCGTTTGTTCCAGACAGTTTTCGGCACGTCGATGTTCCAGGGCGTGTTGTGGAATGAGTGTTTGTTCCATTGAACTGCTAGTGGAGTTGTTGTTCCACAAAAGCATCCTGGAACATCGATGTTGCCGCGCCTACATTTGGGAAACACGAGCTCTCCACAGCACCCCTTTCGTTGTTCCAGGCCAGGGCCTGGATCTGCGATGACTGCGACTTCACTGATAGCCCGCATGTTCGTCAGAAGTGCCCGTCCTGGAAGGTGTATGCAGTGATCGGGGCTACGCGCCCCTCGCACACTATTTCCGTCGCGCCAGTTGTGTGTTTGCTTGTGGCTGTTTGCATGTCTCGGCGCTTTCGCTGTTGCGAAACAGCGATTGTGCAGCATCCTAACAAATAGTTTTTGGGCAATGTATGTTTGCAGCCGTTGCGATCGGTATTACGGGATGATTCGGTTGCGCTAGCACGTTTCCTTCGCGCGCGTGTTGCTTGCGGCGGGTCTCGTGCAGGCTTGCGCTAGTAGTTTTCAGCATCGCGCGCGTGTTCAGGAGCGCTTTGGTTCAATGCTTCTACACTACTCGTACGCATGTCGTTATTGGGAAGTTTTTACAGCCGGTGCCGCCGACCCTGAATGGGGGACGACGACGGCGGCGGCGACGACGACGCTCGCAAAACCCTCGTGGGTGCCCTTGTGGGCCTTGTTGGCCCCGGGACCCCCCCCCTGGGACGGCCCCCGGGACCTTCCGCAGCGATCCCCTCCAGGGACCGCCCCCCCCACCGACGGGGAAGGGATGCAGGGCCTTCCCCTCGACCGACTCGTTTGGTGCTCCCCCGCCTGCGGCTCTGTGGGGCTCTCTTGGGCCGTCTTGGTCGGAGAGGGGGGGGGCCACGACCCCCGGCGCCCACCCCGGGACACCCCCTGGGCCCCGGGCCCTGGGGGGGTCGCCGCGAGAGCTGGGACCCCCCCCGGGGTCTCCCCCGACCACCCGCAGGACCCCTCCCCGCGACCCCCCCCCCCCGGCGCAGGGAAAGAATCGAAGGAAAGGGGCTTCCGGTCGAACCAATTACGACGTTGTTTTATTCTCGCTTGGCTGGGTCGCTCGATGAGGAGGGCCCAGGGAAATGGGGACAGCGGCGACGGCGAAGACGACGATTCAAACGGGATAAGTGTTACATACGCCGACAGGGTTGGCGGATTTCCTATCGTGTTTGCCAGCCCTCCTGATAGCCATCCCTTTTCTGTCCACTACTGTTTCGCACGCCGACCTCGACCGTTGCATGTCAGTCTTTCTTCCGCACCCGTCTCCTCATCTCTGCTCATTCTTCTGCTTATCCACCAGTTTCTTCGTCCATATCCCCTGTGCAAATTGCACGTAACACAATGGGATCCTTTGGGTGCTCCAGGTCTGCTATGACACCCGTTGGCGGCTGGAGACGCAACCGCGCAATGTGAAGGGATGGGAGGGATGGGTAGCATGTCAGATGTGGCGCGAGCGCACCTAGCTTGCCTTCCCGCCTCATCCCCCCCTTCTTCCCCTCCTACCCTTCGCCTGCCCCCACCTCCCGTCTCCTGCTTCTCTTCGCCCCTCCCCCTCCTCCTGGCTCCCCTCGCCCCTCCTGCTCCCCCTCTCCTGGCCCCCCTCCTCCTCCTCCTCTTCCTCCTCCTCCTCCTCCTCCTGCCTTCCCGCTCACCCTCCCTTCTCCTCCTCCTTCTCCTTCTCCTTCCTCCTCCTTCCTCCTCCCTCCTTCCTCCTCCCTTCTCCCTCCTCCCTCCTCCCGCCGCCTGCGCCCCCCCCCCAGGCCGAGCGTTTCCTCTGGGAGGGCGAGGGCGCCGTGCAGGACGCGCTCAGCGTTCTGCAGGCGACCGCCCAGCAGGTCGGCGCCCCTCTCGTTGCCGCCGCCGCCGCCGCCGCCGCCGCCGCCGCCGCCGCCGCCGCCGCCGCCGCCGCCGTCGTCGTCGTCGTCGTCGTCGTCGTCGTCGTCGTCGTCGTCGTCGTCGTCGTCGTCGTCGTCGTCGTCGTCGTCGTCGTCATCGTTGTCATCGGCGTTGTCGTCGTCATCGTCGTCGTCGTTGTCGTCGTCGTCAACTTCGTCGTCGTCGTCGTGGTCGTCGTCGTCGTCGTCGTCGTGCTCGCCGTCGTCGTCGTCGTCGTCGTCGTCGTGGTCGTCGTCGCGGTCGTTCTCGTGGTCGTGGTCGTCGTCGTCGTCGTCCTTGCTCTTTTGCCCGAAAGACTGAAGGGATGGATGGATGTGGGATGAGGAAGCATCCAGGAGAGAGCATGGATGAGGAACGTGGATTTGAAGGTGGGGGAGGAGGAGCAGGAATCTGACGAGAGAGAAGGAGGGATGAGATGGTGGAGGAGCAGGATCATCATGAGGATTCTGAGAAGGAGGCATGAAATACGGAGGGACGCAATGAGGGAAGCAAGTAGGAAAGGCGAGGACGAGGTTGAACAGAGCAGGAAGACAAAGAGGGAAGGACGGATCACCTAGGAGGGGACGAGGCGGAGGAGGAGGACGACGACGATGATGGCGTATAGTACAGCCTGTTGGATACTGTCGGCACGGGTCCGTAGCGAGCCACCGGCCACTCTTTGTGAGGGATAGGGAGAGGGGGGGACCAGGTGAAGGATGGGGGAAGGCGGAGGGAGGAGAGGATGGAGATCGTGAGGTGCAGGGAAGGCGCCATGATTTTGTGATAACGTCGCCACTGGAGGTCTCGACCCATTCCCCAGGACCTGTTCTTCATCCCGAGTTGTTTTCTGACCGCCCCGAGGCTCGGGAAGGGCCTCCCCGAGGCCGAAAGCGGTGAACACACACCTCAACCTCGATTCTGTTTCGACGCGGGATGTCTGGGCGAGGAGGCGCTACCAGAATTCACGCGCTGCATCGATCGTGTTCTGGGTGTGCTCGTTGCCGGATGTCGCCGTCGGTTTCCGGGTTTCGGTCGTGACCGCTTTTGGCTTCGCGCTGCCGAACATTCCCGGCAGCGGTGGCTCCGGGCGAGAGCCCAGGCCGTCACGCCGCTGCACGTGAAGCAGTACGAGGCCGAGCAGGCGCCGCCGCGCGGGGGGCCGCGAAGCGCGGGGCCCGCCCGGCCCGCGCCATGGGCCGCGCGGCCCCCGCGTTCCCCAGGGGGCCTCCTGGGCCCCTGCCCCTGCCACGCTTTGCAAGCCCTGCCCTGCTCGGGGAAACGCAAGACTCGAGCATGCCCAAGAGCTAGGGTCTGCCGACGTTTTGTCACGAGTTCGTTTGGGATTTTGACGGTCAGTTTTCGCGTGTGGTGTTTGCAGCGGGAGCTCGCGTCACATTTCAGATTGGCTTTCGTAATTTTCATGATGGCCCCGTCAGTCCAACCCGGGCCCCCCCGAACCCAAGCCTTGCGTCTCCCCGATCTGTGTCTAATTCGGCACAACCCTCACACGTGTCGTGGCCCGATGGGGAGCTCCCCCTCCTTCGGCCCACTTGCCTCGCGGTATTCCCAGCTGCATATGGTTGGGTCCATTGCCAGGCTCATTCCGGTTCCGGCTCCAGTTTGGAAGCCCGGCGAACCGTTTTTGTTTTACCGTGCTCACTCTCAAGATCACGGTCTTTGGAAATGGGCAAATAATGGCCCTGCCGCTTCCTCCAAGAACCATCGAAGGGCACAAGGGGAGGTGGACCGCGGTGAGACTCACGAGGGGCCTGGACCACAGGTCTCCGCTCCACGGCCCCCCCCTGTCCGGGCCCGACGAAGCGGAAAGCAGCAGGAGGAGAGTGACAAGGGGGGCAGCATGGAGGGTGGGCGAGCTTCAGGCAGGTCCAGGATGATCATGTATTGTTCCATAGCATCGGAACGCGCTCAGGGCGTTCTTGAGCGGTTTGGGTCAGGCCGCGGCGTTCGATCCATCATCTTTCCTCTAGACCCGACTGCCCTCAGAGATTTTTCAGTTTTGCGTTCATCCGGACTGATCCTCATCCTGCCTTCGTCTCAGAGTGGCCCCCGTCGGGGGCAACGCAGAGGGAGGGTCATCCCGAGGTGGAGGGAACGAACCCATCTGGATGCTCACGTTTTCTTCTTCCAGGTGCCGTTGAGAGTGATCTGTCTCTAACCCTGCCTCTGCCCCTGCCACACCTTTGCGTCCCCTCGGCCCCACCCCGCGGCGCCGCCGTGACACCGCGGGGGGGGCGGAACCGGCCGCCCGCCGCCAGAGGAGCTCTGGCGCCTACACTTTGTGCAGTTCAAGATGCAGAACGCCGTGCTGCGGCCGCTGGTGCAGGATCCCAGGCACAACCTCCTGACGGAGCCCAGCGGGTTGAGAGGCGCACGCCCCGGCTCTTGAGCACGGCCTCCCAGGGTTCCCGTGAGCGGGGTGAGCGGTTGGGAGGGTCCAGGGGCAGGGGGGAGGGCGAGCAGCACGGGCAGCGGCGGGAGCACACGTAGCTGGAGCCCGCAGACATCTGCCCTGGAGGCCAGAGCCCGAGAAAAACCATGCTCGAGGCTCGCCCCCTCCCCAGAGCTTGGGGAAGCCTCGTGCGTGGTAATGCTTGCCGCTTGTCCGGCAGTGAATGTCTTCGGGATGGTGTCTCTTGGGCACCGTGCGGTGTGTTGGGTCTGAGAGCTTGCGCGCGAAGCGGGCGGGGCCGCGCGGACAAGTCGCTTCGGCCGGCGCGCATTTCGTCTGGCAAAGCCGCTGGAATGTGCAGTCGCAGCCATTGGCACCACGAGTAACCGTGATTGTTTCGTCAACTGGCGCGTGTGTCGTGTTGCTGAGTTTAGTGTGCTCATTGGTTTCTGTGTGTTCGTCAGTGCTTGCTCATAGTCAGCGTGTCCACGTACTGATATTCCTGGAACAGCGCGGCTGCGACCACGGCTACTGCGACGACGGTGTTTTCTGCTAGTGCAGGAGCTTCTGGCTACGTGCCCCTTGTCACCAGTCACTGCTACTTCTATTGCTGCTGTTCGTACCTTTCATGATTACACTTACTCTGCTTTATTGCCACGATTTGCGCTTCTCAAGATCAAGCCGCACGTAAAGCCCCAGTCCCTCATTGGATTCGCCTCGGCGTCCCAAGGACGCTGTAGGAGCCGGCTCAGCTACTGAGCAACTTAGCCAAGCCGCAACCCTCACGGGCATCGATACAGACCACTTTCATACCTACGCTCCACTGAACCTACATTCGTATTCGGCGACAGCCTGTGAAATTGGCTGAGCATGTCATGTGCAAATGGCATAATGCAAAGAGAGGCGGCATCACCACGAGGGACGAGGAAAACTTGCCCTTGTTAGGTGTCGAGGCACCGCTGAAGTCTGCGCCGCAAGTCCCCGATTGCCCGCTGTGAGGGAGCGAACGGCCGCAGAGGGACAGGCAAGGGAAAATGGATGGACCACTCAGTGATTCGCACGCTTACATCTGCAGACTTGCTTGGGATGGCACAGCAAGGCGGTACACACCAGCTCCCAGGTTCCATCAATGGGGTTCAGGCGCCCAGAAGCCATAGCCCTTCAAGAATTCCTTTCCTTCTCCTCATCCTCCTCCTCCTCCCTCCCTCCCCCCCTCTCCGCGTCGCCATTCTGGTCGTGAGTTCCCTCCTTCTCCCCCCCGCCCCCGGAGGGCCAATCGCCGGCGGTCCGGGGCTGCCTGGGAACAACGTGCCGGGCGCCAATTCCAACGCCGCGAGGAGCGGAGCAGGCAGCGACCTGCGCATCACCACCAAGAACGTGAAGGAGGGGCCTCAACCGCCGCGTGGCGAGAGGGGGCACGGAGGGGGAGGGCAAGGCGGGAGGGGATGCCTAGGGGTCTAGGCCTTCTAGATGGGGTCGAAGGATCGCCCCTTCGGCGTCGCGTATTGGAGGGACGATCAAGTGGTGGGCAGCGAGGGCTGCAGAAAAGGGACCCTTTAGGGGCCAAAGGGTGGCCTTCAGGGCCCCAAATCTTCCACCTTTCTCCCCCCCCTCATGTACCGCCCCACCATCAAGCGGCGCCCAAGAGAGGGAAGGCCGGGGAATCCAGGCCTCCCAGATGGGGTCGGAGGATCTCGCCGCATCGCCGATGCATCGGCGAGGAGGTCTGATGTGGAGCCTGGTGTTCTCCACGCCGACGGCCCCAGTGTATCGCGGACGTCGCCGATGCATCGCCGATGTGTCAGGGATGAATCGGCGATGCGGTGCGACCCTCCGACCCAATCTACTCGGACCCCATTCGGGGGGCTTCCAGAGGGACGGGAAAGAGAAAGAAAGAGCAGGAGGACGAAGATCGAAGCAACGCAAGCATAATGGATTAGCGACGGGCCCCACCTCCATGCAACATCAGCACGCTCCGTGGCCAGATGAGGCGGCATCAGCATCATGTTTCGGGGGTGCCTCCCCCGACCGTAATCCATGTCTGCGTGCGCCCGGGAGGAGGGGAGGAGGGGTGGGGGGAGGGGAGGGGGATGTAGAGGATGTGTTAAGACTGGGATGGAGAGGGTGGGCGTCGGCCGGTCAGGAAAAAAAAGGCACAAGAGGATGGGATATCAAGATGGTGATAATGATGCTGCAGCTGCTGCTGCTGACGATGATGATTGAGGTGGTGGTGTTGATGATGCTGATGATGATGGGGATGATGATGTTGGTGATGATGATCATGATGTTGATGAATATGGTGATGGCGAACATGATGAACATGATGCTGCACACGAACACGATCATGGTCGTTCACATGAGGGTGGTGACGATGATGACGCTGCTGACGATGGTGATGATGATGATGATGATGATGCTGATGATGATGATGATGATGATGCTGATGATGACGATGACGGTGCTGATGATGATGATGCTGCTGCTGATGATGATTCTGACAATGATGATGTTTATGATGATGATGATGATGATGATGATGATGATGATGATGATGATATTCTCGATGACTATGATGATAATGGTGATGGTGATGCTGATGATGGTGATGATGAAGATGGTCATGATGATGAACATGGTCGTGAAGGTACGTGACGATTATGACGATTTGGTGTGGTAATGATGATGTTGTCGATGATGCCGCTCATGCTGATGTTGATGATGATGATGATGCTGATGCTGATGATGATGATGATGATGATGATGATGATGATGATGGTGATGGTGATGGTGATGGTGATGGTGCTGCTGCTGATGGTGACGTCGGTGTTGGTGGTGGTGCTAATGATGCTGCGCATGACGATACTGATGAAGATGGTTAGGAAGATGGTGCTGCTGCTGATGATGATGACGACGAATATGATGATGACGATGCTGATGATGATGATGACGATGATGATGATGATGATCATGATGATGATGATGATCATGATGATGGTGATGATGATACGATGATGATGATGATGATGATGATGATGATGATGATGATGATGATGATGATGATGATGATGATGATGATGATGATGATGATGATGATGATGCGGATGCTGATGCTGATGCTGATGATGATGATGATGATGATGATGATGATGATGATGATGATGAGCCGCGGGGTGCTTTTTGTATGATGTTCTTCAGGGATGGTAGCCTTGCGAGCAGCAGGCAACATGCTGACACTCCCGCCGTCACTGTCAAAGAACAACACAAAGAACTCGCGGGCCTCACGAACATGACTCCAGACTTTGCCCCAACGTGTATTTTGCATTGTTTTTTGACAGGGATGGTTGGGGGGGGTGCGCATCGGGTTGGCTGCGCATGCTCCAAAGATGGAGACAGAGAACGTTTTTGTTGTGACAGGGATGGTGGGGGGGGGCCCTCATGGTTCCTGGTTGGCCGCCGGTCGCCTGGGGGGAGGGGGTGTACATTAACAGAGAAAAGTGATGACCCCCTCCCCAAAGGGGAAGAAGGTGGTTGGAAGAGGAAATTCCCTAGACAACCTACGCCCTAGAGGGCTGGTGAAATTCAAGTTTCCTCCTCGATGCAACTGTATGGTTGGCAGAGCCATCGGGGATGCCCACACAACGCGATTACACTTTCTCCCTTCTCCTCCCTCTTCTCTTCCTTCGTCCTCTTTGCAATTCCCTCCTGTCTGCATCGCCGATTTGTCGTGCAGGCCACGGTCCGTAACATGAGTTTGCCTATTGCAGGTCGGTATTGTGAGGTTTTCCTGGTTTGCCGCGTCATTCGTGGTATTCTGCGTGGAATACAGTAGGGGCGCACATCAAGAAACCATATGCTTTCTGTCAGGGTGCCTTGAGTTTCTTCGCTTCCTCGCTCTGTGCCTTGGCTTCCTGCGCTCAGGGTGCCCTGGGCTTCCCCCGAGTCGCACCCTTCGCGCGGGTCTGCAGGGCCTGATTTCTTGCGAGGGTTTCTTGCGGCCGCGCCCGCGCCGTATAGGAAGTGCCTTTTCGAAGGGCGGGCGTCCTTGGGTTTTGTCATGCAGGCGAGGGCCCGGTTTTGACAAGGCACGCTTTGCACCCCTCGAGCTAGAAGGAGAATGCCATAGGGGTCAAGGAAGTGGTCAGCCCATCAATTTTGATATCTACACGATCACCCTTCGGGTGATAACGAGGTTGTGGGGGGGGAGAGGGGTGGGAACCAACATTTGACTCAATCGATCTCACTATCGATCTCACTCAACGGGACGCCACGGGACACCACGGGACACCACGGGACACTTGTCGATCTCAATATCGATCTCACTCAACGGGACACCACGGGCCACCACGGGCCACCACGGGACACCACGGGACACCGCGGGACACCTTTCGATCTCACTAACGGTCTCACTATTGATCTCACTATCGATCTCACTCGACGGGACACTATAGGACACCACGGGACACCGCGGGACACCTTTCGATCTTACTAACGGTCTCACTATCGATCTCACTATCGATCTCACTCAAAGGGACACCACGGAACACCACGGGACACCTGTCGAGCTCACTATCGATCTCATGATCGATCTCACTTTTTGGAACACCACGGGACACCTCGGGGCACCACATCGATCTCAGTATCGATCTCATTATCGATCTCACGATCGATCTCACTCAATGGGACACCACAGGACACCACGGGACACCGCGGGACACCGCGAGCCACCGCCGGACGGACGGACGGGCGGGCGGGGGAGAATCATTTGTCTTGACTTCGCCCTAGCAGCGGCGGACACCACGGGACACCACGGGACACCGCGGGACACCGCGAGCCACCGCCGGACGGACGGACGGGCGGGCGGGGGAGAATCATTTGTCTTGACTTCGCCCTAGCAGCGGCGGGTACATTCCTCTCGCGCGCCCACGCAGCCTCGCCTCGCCCGCTCGCGCGGCACGACCGGAACCGAAGCGACTTCCCGGTGGGGGGGGGTTCCGTTCCACGGCGAGTTCTCGCCCCCCCCAAACCTCCGACAGAAATCACGCTCCGCCCGTGGAACTGGAGTGCACGACCATAATCGGGCGACGAAATCTATACATATCCACTGCTCCCTGACCATGCCCATCTTGAACCCAGGAGCTGTGTATGCGCCCTCCTGGCCAAGCCAGGAGGGCGTGGCGTATACACCGCTTCGGGGTTGAGGATGGGCCTGGCCAGGGAGCAGTGGATATGTATAGATTTCGTCGCCCTACATAACTTATGGTCATACTGCCACACGAAGTATCAAGCGACAGCCGCGCTTTGTCCATGCGCCGCCCTCCAACCATCTGGCAGTCGGGCAATGTAGATCTGCTGGTTGTGAGGTGCCAGGACGAGTCAAAGCGACGCCGCGTTTCGAAGACGAACCGCCCGCCACACGTGCAGCTCTCGCAACCTTCTAGCACGAGCGTGCACGTGTTGGGGCATCGTACGGCACCAGCTACAGGCAACACACGGCGGAAACCAGGACGGCAGTCAACATTCGCCACAATTTTGGTATTGTAGGGCATCGGCCATGGGGCAGGGCACCACCCAAAGGGCACCAGGGCGGCAGCCAGACATCGAGACAGCTGGGGCACCATTGGGCGCAAGCCATAAGACACGAGGGCGTCAACCGGAATCGAGACAACTGGTGCTTCATAGGGCACCAGGCAAAGGGCACCACCAAAGGCACCCTGGCGGCAAGCTGAACCAGCGACAACCTTAGGGCACAGAACGTTTGGCCATCATAGGACACCAGGTATAGGGCGGATACCGGGTCGGCAACTGGAAATCGCAACGATTGGGTACCATAGAGCGCCAGGCAGCGCGACAGGGTGAAAACCAGAGATCGCAATTTCCAAATCACAGTTCTTTTCGAAGCAGGCAGTGCCCCCTTAGTGCAAGCACTGTTATGGGAATCAGCACAGTGCCGCGGCAAGCGCCACAAGTTGAACTCGGCTTGTCATCCTTCAGTTCAACCGTTGGAAATTTAACGACTCACGAGCATGCATTGTCAAAAAGTCTGAGGCGCAGCGCCCAGCCCGCCCTCCGTACCGAGACTTCGGGTGGTGCGACGAGGAGCTGTTTTTAAGAGCGGAAGGTGGTGTATAGCAGGATTGGGAAGCCGAGGACGATACTGATGAGATGGGGGATCGGACGCGTTAGTGGGAGCTTTCATTGCCGCCTGGAGGACAGGATCGTCCCCGAACTGGCGAAGCTGCTGATGGGCGAGCATACCTCGGAGGAGCTGCCGGGGTCCCCGTCGTCGTCCTGCTGCGGCTCTCCTCCTTTATTGCACCTCCGCTCATCGTGGATCATCGTGCCACGTGGCTCGAACGAAATGCTGGACCCCGAATCGGTTCAGGGTTCGAGCTCTGCGTTGTAAAGTTTGTATGTCTCTCTTTCTTGTCGGCGCAGTGCTGCTGCCAATCATGTTATGGCCGCAATCGTAAAGTCAGGCACTGGGAGGTGCAATTAACTAGCTCCCTCCCCACTCACCTCTGGTCGGCCCTTTCCCTTGATCAGGACGAGTGGAGCATTGCCTGTCATGATTGGCTCAGTCTGCGGCCTGGCGATCAATGTATATGAGAATCTGAGCTCGGCTGGCGCACTCGGGGGGTGGGGGGGGTGCTGTGCCCGCTGCCCCTGTCCGCTGCCAACTGACACAAGCAGCTCATAACTCAGGTGCCCCTCAGGCCGTTACTGTGCCGCACTGTCTGTGTTGGGGGTACTTTACGGATAAGCCGTTTTCTTATCCATCATGTTTGTCGCCGTCGGCCTGCCCCGAGGGGAAGTACGGCGGCATGCTGCGGCCCACGCCGGCCAGACTCCGCGAGCTCGGCCCCGAGGTGAGGCAGGACCTCGCTGGCGCGATGACCAGGCGCCCTCCGTGGGGGCGTCTGTGCGCCGCCGGAGGGGTGCAGGAGGAGCGGGGGCGAGGGGAAGGGAGCGGTGGGAGGGTTGAGCGGGAGAGAGAGGACGGGGAGGAGGAGGAGGAGGAGGAGGAGGAGGAGGAGGAGGAGGAGGAGGAGGTGGAGGAGGAGGAGGAGGAGGAGGAGAGTATTCAGGGGGAGCAGATGGAGTCGGAGGTGGAGGGGGAGGGGAAGCAGGGTGAGGATGTGGTTGAGGATGAGGATGAGGAGGGGTGAGGAGGGTCAGAAGGGATAGCGAGGAGAGCCGGCAAAGAGGGCGAGGTAGGAGGACAAACCCTCCCTCCTCCTTGACATTCTCCTACACCTCTTATTCATACTTCACCTCCTACTCCTTCCCCTCCTTCCCTGCACGTGCGGCTCGAGGCTGTCCATAGCCGCTTGGCTTCCAGATAGCCGCAAGTCGCGCCTTGTGCCTCCATGTTAGCGCTTGAGTGACGTGCCATGCGACAGAAGGTTCCAAGAGCACGTGGGATTGATTTCCCATCTCTACGCATCTAAACGGACTGGCCTGTGTCGCAATTATCAGTTATCGTGCGCCAGCACGTGGGATTCTTTTCTGCAAGGAAGGCGGCGGCGTCTCACAGTTCGTGAAGGAAGGCTGGCTGTCTTTAGCCAACAGAGGTCTGACAAGAGTTGGGCGTATTACATTTTAGAGCCGATGACCGGCAGATGACGGGCAGCTGGGTTCTGTTCCAAGCAGAAAGGCTACTAACCATGACCTATCATGTCCTGGGCCTGCAGACGTTTGGCCGACTGGAGTCCTGATGCCTTCCTGAACGTGCAGTTCGGCATCAGGGTGTGGGTCGGCTTCAGACACCATCCCCTGGGCGTGCGTTTTCCCTGAGCTGATCACACCAACTCAGTGTCGTCGTACACTTTCCCAGTATGAGAGGAACATCAGCCGCTGTTTTCGTTGGAGGATGTATTCTGCGTCATGGTGCCACGGTGGTTTACGATCTCAGTTGTGGCGAAGCTTGTGCGGTAGTCCACGGCCGCGGAAACCGTGGTGCTCTGGGAGCGGTGACAGCGCACAGTGCGTGGCATGTTTCCCAAGCTCGTATTGGTGGCCTCTCACGTTACTCAGTCGGCGAATAACGATATAACGTACACTTCGCCTCGATCGAGGACGCTTGCCCCAGGGCGGCTGACAAGTTTTTCCCCCCGTTGCCCCACCGTAAGGGTACACATTTCCCAGCCGCCATGGGAGATGCGTCCCCGATGGCGGAACAGTTCATCTTGTTCCGCTCTGCCCCCGCTCAATTACGCGAGGGGCTGTGGCACGCGGATGTTCGTTGTCCTCTTCATTCCGTGGCGCATGGAGTCGCGCAACCTCATTATGCACTTTGCAGTGGGGTGAACCTGTTGTGCTTTCCGCAGTGCTTTCGACCGTGCATATCCACACATATGAGGACTCCGAGACTCTTCGTCGCGGGGCTTGGCCGAGATCAGAGGGGGTCTCTGCGGAGCGTTTTTGCACTCCGTGATGGGCCCACAACGTTACTCGCCCCTCCTTCTCATCCCATCTCGTTCCCCCTCCTGCTCGTCCCCCCCCTCCCTCCCTCCCTCCCTCCCTCCCTCCCCCTCCTCCTCCTCCTCCTCCTCCTCCTGCTCCCTCCTCCTGCTCCCTCTTCTTCCTCCTCTTACTCCTCCTCCTCCTCCTCCTCCTCCTCCTCCTCCTCCTCCTCCTCCTCATTCTCCCTCATCGAGACGGACTCGCGGTGTGTGCAGGGAAGGCGGATGGCGTAAACAGGAGCAGGATGAAGACATTGAGCAGTGACTGAGGAAACACGCATAGCGACAGGAGGAACAGTCGGAGGATGAGGAGGGGTTGGAGATGGGGATCCAGGACGGGAGCCCAAACCGATCCCGAAGGAACGGGAGGGGGCCGAATTTTGGTGTCAAGCGCACCGAGGCCCAGCAGGGCCTATCACGGAGCATCGAAAGGGTGCGGCTCCCCGCAAAGGCCCATCAGGAAGACGGGGGGTGGAGAGGCGTCAGCCAGGGACATGAGGAGGGGTTGGAGGAGGGATGACTACGATGGGAATTTCTCCGACAAGGATGCGTGTGAGGGGAAGCAAGAGGTGGGCGAGGTTTCATCGATGCCGATGGCTGGGGTGGCTGTGTTGCGTCGTCTGGTCATGGTCTCAACATTTCCCCATCGCAAGTAGCTGTAGCGGGGAGAGGGAAGCAACACGAGAAAACAGCAGCACGAGCAGCGGCTGCTGGTCGGAGGAATCAGCGGCGGTCGACGGTGGTCAGCGGCCCGAGTCAACAACTCTCCAGCTGGATAGCCTGGGCGCAGGAGAGCATGGGCCCTCAGACCAAGGACCTCGCGGGGCACGGCGCTTCGGTCTTTTGAACTCCGGCGATGGCCGCGTCCTGGAGGTCAGCATTCTGCTTTCGGGGGTTGCTGAAGGTGCCCCTGGCCCAGGGCGCCCCCCAGCTTCTCGATCCACTCTGGAGCCTCTTGGGCCCCCTGGGCCTCGTGAACGGTTCTCTCTGGAGGCCGTCGGGGCCTCCTTGGGAAAATCCTGGGGGCACCTTGGGCCAGGGGCACTTCTAGCAGAACCACATGCCTGCTTCTCGCACTCCTGCTCCTCCTGTCTTCCTCACCATCGCTCCGCTGCCTCCTGCTCCCCGCGGAACAGAATCCTCAAAAGGCCCCCATCCCGATCCACCCAGGCCCCCTGGAGACCCCCCCCCAAGTAGGGCGCCGCTGGGGCCCCCTCTCTCCCACTCGCCTGCTCCCCCTCCTCCTTTCCCTCCCTCCTCTTCTTCCTGGCGAGCGACGTCTCCTCCTGCTCCTGCTGCTCCTCCTGCTGCTGCTCCTCCTCCTCCTGTTGGACAGGCTCGTTGGATCACTAATCTACGATTCGCCGATGGTGTCTTGTTGATTGACACATCCTTACACCATGTCCGGAACATGCTTCAAGACATTGGCGACGTTGCTCGAGAAAGATGTCTAGCCATCCTCCAGGATAAGACGAAGTTCTTGAGCAACGCTCCGACATGCACGGGGCGACCCAAAGCAGCTGCAACGAAGGTTGACGACATGAACATCGAGGTCGTTCAATTCTCGGGTGCGTGGGAATATCTGGGACGGCATATTCCGGTCAGCAGCACGCACGAGACGGGGATCGACCACATAACTGTAATGGCGTAGAAGAAGTTTAATATCCATTGGGCTGACCTTACAAGCAACCATTACTCCATCAAGTGTCGTCTTGCGCCTTTGAACACACAGTACCTTTGACCATGTTGTACAGCTGTGAACCATGGGCCCTGACCAAGCCTGTGGAGGACACGGTGTGGCGAACCCAGCGTCGGATGCTCCGAACGATCGTCCGCACACCCCGGAGGAGGCTGCATGCAGACGAGAACCAGAGTTCATCCAGCGAGACCGCCGCAGCCCCATATTCTCCGAGCAGTCCAAGCAGTTGCAGTACTAGAGTTGGTTTGGAATATTGCATCGATTGGGCGAGACGGGAGCGCAGAGCAGCGCTTGCAACGTCTTCATATTTCCGTTTGGGTTTCTGCACAGCATTTTGGCCCGCGAATGGTGGTCTCGTTTGCACGGCTCTGAACACTGGTGGGCAAAGTGGGTTTTGCAGTGGACACTTTCTAAACCGTGTCACCAGCGACGTCATGGAGGACAACGAAAACGATGATTAGACGCCGTGGCCACGGTCAATTTATGTTTGATCTGAAGGCCGAGGCACCGCCGCGCCGCCCTGTTCAGGGCCAGATCTTCAGATCCGATGGGAGCGCGCTCCCTCCTCCTCCTCCTCCTCCTCCTCCTCCTCCTCCTCCTCCTCCTCCTCCCCTCTTCCTCTTCCTCTTCCTCTTCCTCTCCTCACTCCCCCTCCCCTCTCCTCCCCCCGCCTCTCCTCTTCTCTTCTGTTCTCTTATGTCCTCCTCCTTCTCCCTTTTTTCCTCCTCCTCCTTCTCCTCCTCCTCTTTTCCGTTCCTCATCCTATCTACTCTTCCTCTCTCTTTTTTTTTTTCTTCCCCATCCTAATGTCTTAAACTTGTTGAGCAACGATGCCCCCCCCCACCCCCCGGACCCCGACTACCGTTAATTCGCAGCCGAAGAACTATTTTTTCACGTTTGTAGTAGTAGTAGTAGTAGTAGTAGTAGTAGTAGTAGTAGTAGTAGTAGGAGTAGGAGTAGGAGTAGGAGTAGGAGTAGGAGTAGGAGTAGGAGTAGGAGTAGGAGTAGGAGTAGGAGTCAAGCTAGCCAGCTCGAGCGAGTCAAGCATGGCATGCCCAGTCCCACCCGCCCTCCCACAACATAAGAAGCAAAGCTGGCACAACTGGGGGCCGAAGTCACACCGGCCAGCCGGTTTGGTACAGCTGATGCGGCCGCGATGGCGGTTGCCGACGGGAACTGGCGAGCGCGTGTTGAATGCCGCGCACGCATTGCCAGACGAGTCGAGAATGGCCCGGTACACCGCAGGAAGCCAGAGGTGGCCGGAGGAAGCCCGACGGTCTGACAGGACACCCCAAAGCATTTTTGTGAAAAAGCATTGGGTTTTTGATGTTTTTATGTTGAAATGCTTGCA